GCTGCGACCTTAACGCTCCGCTCCAGAACCTCATCTTCCGCTACCTGCAGAACGTGAGTACCGCGGCCCGGCGGGGCGGGAGGGTCGGGGCTGCCGCAGCTTCGCCCCCTGTGTGAGGGGAACGCCCGGGTGCTCCCTGCGCGGGGCCCGGGCGCCACACCGGGTTGGGATTTCGGAGTTACTGGTGCGGTTTCTGAAGCCGGTTTCCGCTGAACTTGCCACCGTTCGGATACGTGAGAGGAACAGCTAGTTCTGCGCTCAGCGGTTCCTTCCCACGTTAAGGAATTGCCTTTGTAACAGGCGCTTGATCTTGCAGTCCGGTGTGCAGGGGTGTTTTTCCTGTGACGGTTTTAAAATCTATGCTGTTACACGTTCGTGTAACACACGTATACTTTAAGCGAACGCTTAAAGTACTTACAGAATAGTATAATACCTTAAAAATACCCGAGGACGTAACTGAACCCTGGTGTGAGAGTTACTCCTCTGAGCGCTGCGGAGCTGGAGTGGCTGTTGGTAGCGAGGGTCGCTCGATGCACAGGAGAGAACAGAATTGCTTGGAGTGTTTACGTCCCTGTGTTGCTCTCCTCCTCCATCATTTTGCAGAGGTCCAGGATCCAGGTGTGGCTTTATGAGCAGGTGAACATGCGGATAGAAGGCTGCATCATTGTGAGTATCGGGAGGTCCCCTTGTTATTCTTTTGATTGTTTTTTTTTAATTCAGATTTGTAAAACTATTTCTTCCTGTCAAGAAAAACTAGTGGGGGGGGATGGAGATACTTCATGCCTCTCCAATGAATCGTCTTAATTGTCCAGCCGACGTCAGCGCAGCTAATGACAGTTTGTATCGTTGTTGCTGAAGTTTAGATCGGGGGATGTAGCTCAGTGACTGCTTCTGTTGCTGATTTTTAGGGCTTTGATGAATATATGAACTTGGTGCTGGACGACGCAGAGGAGATTCACTCCAAAACAAAGTCAAGGAAGCAGCTGGGTACGTCAGTACGTCTGTGTAACCTGGGCGATGTCTGAAACCCGGTTGCGTGAGCCTTCCAAACAGCGACGCTTTAAAGTACAAAACACCTGAAGAGTGTTGAGTGTGAAGTACAGTGAGCAGATACTGGCCAGATCTCGGTTCCTGCTGTTTCTTGAGGTTTTGTTGAATGCGCAGGAGAATCTGCCTCTGCCCGAGGCCGGTTTTTTGCCTTTCAAACGCGCGTAACAACGTATGGACCGCGCTGCACTTTTTCTGCAGCCAGGGTGGCTGGAGGGGTCCAGTCAAACTCCTCTCAGCTACGTCTAACGCAGGTGGCCCCGAGCAACTCGGACACTTGCTGTGTCACCTCCCGAGTCAAAGCAGGGGACCACCTAAGTGGTGGTATTTAATGTTCGCCGCCTGCTGATGAGGATAAGCAGCAGTCTGTGACAGGTGCCGTGTTCGGGCTCTGAGTGGGGACAGAGTGCTGTTCAAACACCGAGCGCTGGAGTGGAGATTGTGTCTGAGACGTTGGTAGTGTGAGTTGTGAATGTGGGCCCTGCACGACCATGCTTACCGTCCTGTGGTGCGGCCAGACGGGAAGGGACTCTCTGTTACTGATAAAAACCTGGTCAGTTATTGTGTGGGCGTCTTCTCGCAGGCACCTTTGCCGTTGGTAAATGTTTTTTGAAAACGCGGGGTTGTCGTCAGAGTCTGGGATCTCTCTAATCCCCCGTTTCCTTTCTCTGTGTTGCAGGTCGGATCATGTTAAAAGGGGACAATATCACCCTTCTACAAAGCGTTTCTAACTAGGATTTGTTGTTCTTCGCTTAGAACAATGGCTGCGGTGCTTCGGGGTGAATAAAGTGCTAGTAGGAGCAGGAGAAGCGAGTAGGCAGGAAGTTATGCGTAACTGGGGTCACAAGCGGAGTGGAAAACCACGCGTCCCTTTGTACAAGTAATTTTTTTTTTTTTGTAGTTTGAAATGGTGGATGATGTCCTTCACAAATAAACGTTTTTCACATTAACTGTAAACGTAAATCTGCTTGCTTTCAGTCTCATGCCCTTCTGTGAGTGGAGGAGGGGGAGAAATGTATTCAAAGTGATTTTCACCGTGGATCTGGGCGTTCTGGAATGTTACGTCTGCGTTAGGTGGACAAGGTGGGCTCGTTCAGGATACTGGAGTGATGTGCGGTCCTTGAGCTTGTGTGGTTCTAGTGAGGGACTTGGAGCTGTGAAATAGTAATCCAACAGTTACAAACTTTACTGGTAGGCGTGCTTGTAAAATCACTTTTATCTTCAGGTCGGAGAAGGAGAGAGGGCAGTTGGTTTGGATTAAATATAATTTCTTGCTTCTTTGGGCAGAGTCTCTAGCTTAAACCATGGCACTGTTAAATAACTTGGGATATCAGATGTATCAGCTGGGGTTTTAATCGTGTTGGTTTATTATTATTACCTGTTTGAGGATCTGGCTGTTCTATTTAAGTTTCCACAAGAGAGCTGAGCTGCTTATCACATCAACAAGAGAGAAGTTCCCTGGCTTACTTGGGACCGTCGGTCCCCTCTGCTGCTTTTCTGGTGTGAAGAAAGAGAAAAAAAAGAAACGTTTTGACTGTAGTTGTAACTCGGAGACTAAGATTACCTGGATGGAGAGAAATGAATCTTGATACCCAGGCTGCACTAGAAATCATTTAACAAGCTTTCAGTATTTCAAAACTTGAATTTGTGTGTCATCTTAAGCATGAGAATTAATAAATTCACGATGGAAGATTTCTTGCTTCACAGGATAGAAATATATGAGTCTTCTGGCAGAGGTCATCCAGCGTGATGGATGACTGGTCCAAGAAGTCGTACGTCAGGAGTATCGTAGCAGCCGTTCGTGGTAAGAAACTTCTGAGAGGCAGCATGACATACTACAGTGGCTCAGACAGCTCCAGCTGCGCAGCCTGACGGAGTCAGGACTTCTGTATTTGTGCTCACAGGCTGCAGAGTCCTTTCAGCATCGAGTAAACAGAAATGACCTACCAGTGTCATTTAGTAATAGAAGTCATCACCAGAAGCTAGCACATATGGAATAAAATAGTATTTTGAGAGGTCACCTGCTTTCCATTTTGTCCTCGGCATACCAAGTGAGGCTTTCGGGGAAGGCGGGAATGAATTGTCTCAGTCAATAGTTCAGGTGTGGCAGTAAGGGGTATTTAGGACGCAGTGCTGTAAAATTTACCTGCCTGCGTCTCTTCGCTGTTACAGACAGATGATGGCCTTGAGACTCTATAAAAATGCACGCTCTCTTCGAAGTCATTTTGAAGTAACTTTGACGTAATCATTTCTCTTTCCAAGTGTTTGTAGCTTTTTACGAACAGTTAGTGCGTGTTGAGAAAAAGGTTATTAAATGGGATGTGTTGCATCACGTTGCTTGGCTCCAGTTTATCCAGGACCACTGAAATAAAACTGGCTCGGAGCCTACAAGGGTCTGTCCTTCTTCCACTTTGCACATGGCTGGCAAGCGGCTGCTTTTTGAGGAGAACTGGACATTAGGAGAAATAGCTCGTTCTTATCAGCAGTGCTGCTGCCAAGTCCAAATTGTGCACTTCAAGATACTGTAATGCCTCCTAAAGCTCCTCTGCTCTTTGATATTATCAAATTAGCGCGAATGAACGTCAATATTGGAGTAGGTTGATGATGGGAGGAAGGAAGTCCAGGCTAATCAGCTCTGAAGCATCTCGCAAGGTACCAAAATAGGCAGTAATTATGTGCGGGGCGGAGTTGCAGAAGAAAAGGAGAAGCTCCCCAGCAGGAAGCCGTGACAACTGCCGAAAGCCTGCAGGAGAGTCCAGGCGTGTGTGGATGTCCAGGAGGAAACACAGCCCCATTGTTTGAGGGAGTGCCTGGCAATGGAGCGTTGTGGTCCAAGAACAGAGCTTCTAGGCATTACCAGCACATAGATGGGGCACAAAAACAGTTCTGGCTGTGCCAAAACTGGCTTCCCAAGAAGCACTTGTCTGTCCTCACAAAAACCACAGGACTGTCCAGGCTAATCAGCTCTGAAGCATCTCGCAAGGTACCAAAATAGGCAGTAATTATGTGCGGGGCGGAGTTGCAGAAGAAAAGGAGAAGCTCCCCAGCAGGAAGCCGTGACAACTGCCGAAAGCCTGCAGGAGAGTCCAGGCGTGTGTGGATGTCCAGGAGGAAACACAGCCCCATTGTTTGAGGGAGTGCCTGGCAATGGAGCGTTGTGGTCCAAGAACAGAGCTTCTAGGCATTACCAGCACATAGATGGGGCACAAAAACAGTTCTGGCTGTGCCAAAACTGGCTTCCCAAGAAGCACTTGTCTGTCCTCACAAAAACCACAGGACTGACTCATCTAAATGCTTGCTGATTTTTTTAACCCCCAATCCTCCCAGCTTCCTGAGCGTTTCCAAGCTGCAGGCAGCAAGAAGGTAACGTCTCGTGAACCGCTTGAACTCTGCAGTGCCAGAATGAGACTCAAAGCTGGCTGCAAAAGAGTGCGGTAGACAGAAGGGGGTGCTGCGGGCTCGGCCAGCTCCCCCCTGCCCCTCCAGCAAAGTGTCATAAGCCTCGGCAGGAACATAGAGTTCCCCAGCATTCAAGCAGCTTTATTGGCTCCCAAACAACCTGGAAGAAAGCAAACCGGGCCGTCCGGTGCGGGACTGCTCTCAGACGGTGCGGTGGCCGGACAGGGTGCCTGGATCTCCTGGGCACCGGCACCTTCCCCGGTTCGTCCGCACCCTGGCGTGTCCTGCTCCAGAAGGGGATGAGGAGTAGAAGGTTCTGGTTTTGGCTGAGCCAGAGGCAGTGAGGAGGAGCAAGGTAGAGTGAACGCTTACAATTGGGCTCTGTGTTTAGAAAACTCCCGTCGCTTGGCTTTCTGCTGCCTTGAAGCCTGTTGTGTTTGCTTTTGCAAATTGTGCTTTTCCATAACGTGCAAATTCCTTTCCCTCCAGCGCGGGGGCGGGGGGGAGCAGGGTGGGTCGGGGGGGGGCATGTGTGAAGGTTCCTTTTGAAGAAGATGCCTTGAGGTGGCATTATTAGGAGCGCCCCAGCGTGCCGGATTATTGCAGTGGGATGTCGTGTTGCGGCGCAAATACCACGCTGAAGTGTTCACACATCTCTAGGAAACAAAGTGCTTGTGACGGGCTTTGCCAGAGAAAGTTTTCTTACCGCTACCAGCACTCGGATATCTGTCACAACCAAAAATTGAGCTGATGGTACTTTTAGATACCATCTCACCGTACCCGAATGTCTGTTTTGTAGAAACAGAGCTCGCTCTTTCTTAAAAAGCGAGTGATTGAGCCCTGCTTCTGCACTAATGATGGCACAGGTTGCATAAGAGAGCTCTCTACCATGCGGCATTTCAGTTTGAGACCATCGTGCTGCTTGTGGCAGGCGAGTGAGAGCCCGTCCAGATCCAGGTGGGGCTCTGCAGTGTTTGATTTTTTTTTATTATTTTTTTTTCCTTTCTTAAAAGCGTTAGCACCTTGAACAGCACTGGAAGGCGCTTTGAGTAAATATTTGCCCCTTTTCTCTGCCCGTGGCCTTGGGGTTCTGGGAAAAAGGCTGCATTTCTTCCCTTTCGCACTTGGGAATTGCTTGCCCTGGCCCAGCCCGGTCCTTTTGCGGGATGAGGCTCTCCGTGCTTGTGAAAGAGCCCCCCGAGGAGGGAGGCAGAGTGGTCCTGCCTTTCCAGAGGGGAACGGTTTCTCTGTGGTTCTTTGGTAGGATGCAATGATTTGTAGGACAGTTTTATGTGTGCTTGAACCTAAACCTCTGAGCCAGCCAGCTGCCTGCAGGTTGGTGCCCTTCCTGGCTCTTGAAAGGCGTCATTGCACTTTTGCTCAGGCTTCGTGGGATGCGGTGGGCTCCGTCCTCGGGCAGGACGTGGGTCTGTCTTGGCAGGAGCACCGCAAACAGGAGCAGACGCCTTGCGTAGCCCGTGGCTGCTTGCTGAGCTTGGGCTACCTTCAGCGTTTACTGTCTTTTCAGGCCTGTAACCTTCTGAGTGTCCGTAAAATAAGTAAACGGGGAGATGGGATGTGTAGCTGCGTGGGCTGTACAAGGGGAAAAATCACCTTTCCCTCCGTCGTGCTCTGCCACCACCCTTGATCCCACAGAGCTCCCTTCTCCCGAAGCCTCCCCACCTCGTGCTTCAGTGCACATTATCTGGGAACTTATTTCAAGTGTTGGTATGTTTTAAGGATTGTGTGCCTAAAAATAATAGTATCAAAGAGACAACAGTGGAAGGTCAAGGACTCGAACGGCTTAGAAGCTGTCCCCTTAGGGCAGCATCTGAATATGGAAAACTTGTGTGGAGGGCAGAGGCAGGAGCTGGGGGAGAGCAGCCTTAAAGCGCTGTAATGCTTTCCTAAATTCCCTGCCTGTTCTTGTTCCAGTCCCACATGGGGATGGAACCGTTTGGGATTATTTTTGCCGTTTTTCTCCCCGGGCAATAAAACCGGTCCCCTCTTTGGCTGAAGACGGGGTTGGTACCCATCACAAGCAGATAGGATGCCGTGGGGAGAGGAGTTTGCCGGGCAGCCATTTTGCCCTTCTTCCCCCGAAGTCCTTGCGGGAAGGGCTCTCGTCCGCACACAATGCCAAAAACTGGCTCCAGCAGGTTTTGTTCGTGGCAGTACCCTCCGTTGGCAGCCCACACACAAGGTGCCCAGCATGGCTGCCCCCCCGTCGTGCCTTTTCACATTCATACCCACCAGGGGCATCGTTACTATTGTTTGTAACATCTCTTGGAAAAATGAGTCATGGGCATTTTGCCTGCCCTCAGCAGGGAAACTCTGCCACATTAGCAGCAGCAACGCCCGCCCCCCCCCCGCGCCGCTGCCTCGCATACCAGCAGGCCCCTTCGTGCACGGAGCTGGACTTGCTTCGCTGAAGTCGGCCGATGTTAACCGCTTTTCTTGCCAGCGGTAACCTGGGCTGCGGGGAGGGTGTTGTTCCCCGATTCCCCGTGCACAGAAGCCTGGGCGGAGTTCAGCCCAAGGTGTCGTAGCAAACTCCGACACCCAAAAGACGACCCTGTTCCCATAAGTCTCCTTCCCTCCCGTGCCTCGAGCCGCCACGTTTAAGCCCGATTTTCCTGCACTTGTCTTTGGGCCGTGTTCC